TAAAAATAAAACATAACCTTTTCCACTCCAAAACTTTTAATACTAAATAAAAATTAACAAATCAACAACATCAGAAATCACATCAAAATAAATGAGATAAAAAAAAAAAATGACGGTGATCAGTGAATCTATGAGTCTTTTTTTTTTTTTTATAGTTCAGTCCATCGTGTAGCAAATCTATGAAAAGCAGAGATTAAGTAACATTTGCATCTACTTTTTGAAACAAAATATAGCATGGCGTTTACGTGATGAATCAAATGTCTCATTGATAGAGAATTTACGCAGTTAGTTATTTGAAATTATTTTTAAAGTGAAAAGCGGTTTTTTTTTTTTTTTTTGTCAACCTTCTGTTTTTGTGCCGAAGGTCTCTTTGGTTATATCTATTCTACTGCATATGAAATCTTTCATATGAGCATTTCTCTTATCTATTATTCAAGATCGTTAGGTAGCAAAAATTTGTGTCAGCTGATTTATGTGAAAGTTTATGTTTTGACGTTTGGCACTGAGAAGTTTCGGTGCCGTCATAAAGAAATGTGAAGTTACCCGAAAAAAAAAAAAAAAGATTCAAACATAGAAGTTGCAAGAGACTGCAGAAGTATTTGTAGGAAATGGCCTGTTTAAAGATGAACATGAGTTAAGATGACAATGTTGAAGGTTGATCGTACCGATTTTTGTCCTCGAAATCCATATCTGGGATAATCTGGAACAAATTTAAAAAAAAAAAAAAAACATAATAAACTAACAAAGAAAAAAATAAAAATTCAATCCTTAGAAAAAAAAATTCAATCCTTAATATGGTAAACTAACAAATATAAAAATTCAGTAAAAACCGATTTTTAAACACAAAATTTAAAAGAATATATTTGAAACAAAATTTGAAAGAATATAGGATAATTGGAATGGTTGTGAATGTTTAAGAAGATTTCGTTGATTTTTTTTTTAAAGATTATTTATCGCTAAATAATTTTATAATAAAGATAAATAAGATTTTTTTTTTTGGACAGTACGTCACCGTTCACTTGTAGTCCCATTTCATTCATTTTGCAATGGTAAGAAAATATAAATTCCGTTTTGTTTGCATGAAAGCTTATAGAGTATGAAAAAAAAAAAAAAAACTTTGAAGTGACATTTACGTAAAATTATAATACAACGTATTGTACACACGTTTTGATCACAAGCTAAAGTGGATGATTGGGACTTATTTTGAATTAATATTTCACTGATTAAAATAAAAATATCTCACACAATTTAATCAATGCTATGAATGAATAAATGAATAAATGATGCAATGATGTCGTAATTATTTTATTAATTTTCTTTACTCCTTTCAAAAAAAAAAAATCACTTTTAGTTCTTTTTCTGTGTGTGTGTTTTTTTCTTTGCAGAAATAATTGAATTCATAAAATTTATATCCACAATGCAAAATAATTTATTTTTTAATTTGTAAAACATTAAAAGATTTTTTTTTGAATTCTTCAAAATTTCAACAATTTTTTTTTTCATTCGTCTGCTTCGTAGCAGTTTGCACGTTCACAATTTCAATTTCAATAATTATTAAATTCGAGAATGGATGAATGTCCCGCAAGTATCACCACAAAATTAAATTGTCAATGCAAATGAATTCACTGTCCCGCGTCTCTTTCGCTTCACGATGGCAGCACGCAGTGTTACGTTGGGCAAGTGATATATTGCTTTCGCGTACGGGAATTCATGAATTTAGCGTATAACAAAGGTTTATCGATAAAAATAAATTTTGCATTGTTTTTGGGATGAAAAATTTTACTACAATTTTAAACAATTTGAATACCGAAAGATTGAATGGGAAATGATTACTGATCCGATAAAGTCACTTTTTTTTACGTTTATCGCGTCAAAGTATTTATTGACGTAATTATCATATCCGTTATTGATTATTGTACTTACGGAAAATGTCTTTATATTATGCTTTAACAAATTTACACGATCTTACGTGTTATTATCGCATATTACTGATGGTAAAAGTAGAAGACGTCATGTTTCTTTTGTGTTAATTTTATTCTATTTACAGTTATGTAAATTTTTCTACGCTATATTTATTCACCTGCTTTTAAATTTCAAATTCCAATTGTAATATTACTACATGTACATATTTGATTCAGTTGCAAATTTTGATAATTTAATTTCTGCAAATAAATACTTTAAAAGTGACTGTATGCTACGCAGGTAACAGTAAAATGGATGTTGATGTCCAGTCTACCTCAGGTACCAATATTCTTGATTCGGTGGTACCAACAATGAATGAAGAGGTATTATCAGCAGTACGTCGTGAAAGCCCAGAAGATGCCTCTTCCTTTCATAATTGTAACTTTCGTGTTTTGTCGCAGTTCGTTGCCATTACTGATGTGAACTTTAAAGAACGATCATTTTCTGTTTTCACTGAGCTTTCTCTTGCACCGTTACATCCTGAACTACGGCAAATTTGCCTTAATGTTGGGCCAGGTTTGTTACTTACCTATATTTTTAATAAGTATTATTTTCTTATAGATGTCATTTAAAGTGACCGGTTTTTTTTTCTTTTTTTTCTGCAGATGTTATATTGCCAAATGAATTCCCAGAAGGTATTACTGGCCGAGTTACTGTAAACGATGAAGATGTAGAATATATCCGGAAGGATCCTCTCAAAGTTGGTGCTGTGAATAGTAGGAGAAGCTTTATAAATTTGATTGATAAAGATGTGGAAATCTTTAAAAAGATTGTTCATTGATCTTTATTTTCTTATCGTGACATCTATTAGTCAATGAGGTCCATTTTAAAATACCGAATCTGTCACTGAGTTATATCATGCATGAAATTAACTTTTAGATATTGAGTCACAAAGCGGAACAAAGTTTGCACGAGCTTTCGCACGATATGTACGATGAGCTAGAAGATTGTGAGGGTGAACTTTTAATTAATGTTCCAGAAAGTTGTTATGTACTTATGGATGAACAAAAGATTATCAAAATTGGAATTGATGCCAAAGTTGTTAATCCAAAGCATGTAAGTTTTTCAATTGAGATTTACTGAATTTTTTAAAAGCTTTAATAGAATCTTTATTTCAAAGTTTAGTAAATTTTTGTAATATGATAAAAAGAACGAGGAAACCATTTCACTATTAGTTCTGTTATATGTTTTTACTCTAAGAAATGTTTTGATTGACTCATTTCTCTATTTTTATAAATTCAATATTTATTATGTTTGATCACCTAAAAAAAGCTTACTTTTATAATTTGGTTAATTTTAGAGGTTTAACATAAGTTTATTAAGCGCTGTTATCTTATTTTCATTCATGACCAATTTAGGGTATACATTTTGTTTGTTCATTTTCTGATGATGATACTTTGGAGAGTGGTGCACACATGTACACTTATAGGTATATTTTTATATCTTTTGAAACATATTTGAGAAATATTTTATAAATTTTTGAATATTCTATTATTACCCTTTTCAAAGAAATTTTTAAGAATAAAATTTTATTCGTCAAGTCTGAAATTTTACACTTACAATTTTTAACTTGCTGTTTTATTGATCTATTACTTATCTTTGTAACAGTGACTTACTAACAGTATTTTTTATTTTTTTGGATCAAGCACATTATCCAGTACTCGTCACTGGCTACCTTGCATGGATACGCCTAATCAGTTATGTTTATGGCGACTCGAAGCAACTGTTGACCTTATGTTCACAGTAGTTGCTAGTGGTGAACTGTTTGTAAGTGCCTTTTTGTTTTCTCAAGTTAAGAATCTTTTATCGATCTATATTTTCTGTCAAAAATATACACGCTAATGGCATATTATTCATCTCATCTATCAATATTATCACGTATCAGAGATATCCATATGAGCTTTTGTGAAGAATGAAATAAGTATCATATTTCGAGACTTGAAATCGCATTTCAATGCATTGTGAATTGTAGCACGTTGAAGAATTCTGTTTTCTTTCTATTTAAAGCGGCGAGAAAAGTTATCTGCAGAGAAGCATATCTGAATTGTATCTGATTTTGTAATGGATTGTATCTATTTTCAAGGATATTGCTGGATGCCAAATTACATTGTATCACATAATTTGCTTCTTGCAATTCATTCGTTATTTTCCTATTAAAGTTTTTTTCAGGATACGGAGTATACAGCTGATTTACAGGAAAAAATTTATCATTATCAGCTTTTAGTACCAACATCTGCAATTAATATCGGTTTTGCGATTGGTTGTTTTACACCAGTTGTGCATCCCGATATGCCTGAAGTATGGTTTTATTTTAATTTACTACAGATTGTTAGCGTTTTCAACAATTTTTAAAATGATATAAAAAGTTTACATTTGTTTACAGATAACAAGTTTTGCACTCCCGTCATTATATCCACTTATAAAACATACAACTGCAACAATTGATCGAGTATTTGAATATTTTGAAGAGCTTCTCTCTTGTCGATTTCCCTTTTCATCCTATAAACAAGTTTTTGTTTATCAGGTTTGTAACATTAAGTCATTTGATTTGAATTTTTTGAACATCCTCTTTTTTACGAGAATTAGAAAACTGCAAAGGGATATTTGATAAGAAAGAAATTGGAAATTTGTGAAAGTGATGTAGAAAGCGTTAAATTTGGATCTGATTTCAATGATGTTGTAAATATTGTAGTAGAAAGCTTTGGATAGTTAGGAAATTATTCCCCACAATTTCTATTTTATTTGAACACTCGAAATTTTATTTGGAGATTTATTTTCAGATTCCTGATGAAGTTACGGCTTATACTGGTTTATCAATACTCTCGCTTACCTTATTGTATCATAAGAAAATTTTGGATGTTGTACAAGTAAATTTTTTTTCCAGATTTTTGACTATGTATTAAAACTGAACGCATGATGAGAATTAAATTTTGTTAGATATGAACTAAATTCTCGATCTTTTTAGTCTTAGTTTTTTTAAACTAATGCCAATTTGCTACTTATAGACAATCATTTGTTTTTAGATGACGCGTCAATATCTTGCTTATGCAGTAGCACAACAATTCTTCGGATGTTTTGTTACTTCAACATGCTGGCTAGATATCTGGCTCGTTTCATCGCTTGCAAGGTTTGTAAGTTGATATCTCTTAAGTATATTTGATTGGTTAAGCTGATATGAGTGGATCATGTTTGATGATGAAAGGAAATGTTTGATGGATGAGAAATGAGCAACTGAACAGCTAAACTGACAAAAAAAATCTGAATTTTTCTTCTTTTTGCAACGCAGTGAATTTTTTTCAACACAGTAAGAATGTCAAGATTCGTTGCAACAATGGAAGGACTTTCGCGATTCCCTTTTCTACTCTGTCAGTGTTTCGGGGAAGTTATGTTGTTTGGAGTATAACTATAGAAATACTTTTGCTATATATTCTTTTGAAAGATGCAAATATTTGCAGATCTGTCACTGGCATGTTTGTAGAGCGATTCTTTGGCTTTTCTGAAAATCTCTTCCAGGTATGATCCATACGTTTGGTGACTTTTAAAAAATATTGTTATGAAATGGTTCTCATGAAGAAAAATTTTAGATCAGTAAAATGCTGAATTCTGTTTGCGATTATGAAACTCGTTGGGCAAAGATTATTTTGCGGCCTTCAAATACAAATTACAAGGTGAGCTTTTTCATCATACATGTAACTTTTCAAATTATTCCCAAATTGAGGAGTGCTTGTAAAAAAAAATATTTTGCAAGGAAAAAAAAAACATGGAAGGAGTGCAATTTGTTTTGCCTTCTCTTTATATCATTGATTTAACCAAAAGCAGAATGTTAGTTGTATTAATTTTTATAGCATTATTTACATTTCGATCCAAGAAATCCATATACATGCTCTCCTCTCTATGCAGATGCTTTGTTCAAAAAAGGACATCTTGTCATGCGAATGCTTAATCAACGTTTGGGCAAAGAACCATTTTTACAGGTTAAATTGAATACCTGATTTTATCTATTAACTATACTTTTCATAAAAGGTCATTGCCCATAGTGGCAAGAATTGACTGTAGGAGTTGACTACTGATTTATGAGGTTACCGTGATATTTCTCACGTCGTTTTTGAAGAAAAGAATGAAAATGTTTTCCTTTCCAATTATAGGTAATACAGAAAATACTGAGCGTGGCAATGCAGGCAAGCCAACTGCAGAAGGAACGAGTTCATTGGCAAAAAAAAAAATTTTTCAGAACTTTATTTTATTTGTTCGTTATGCTTCGTTGTATTCTAAACACTGTTTTCCTTCCCAATTATAGGTAATACAAAAAATACTGAGTGTGGCAATGCAGGCAAGCCAACTGCAAAAGGAACCAGTTCATTGGCAGCATATGACTGTTTCAACGGAATCGTTTTTTCGTACCGTTTCCAGTGTTACAGGCCAAGAATTCCCAACATTTCTGGAGCAGTGGATTCATAACGGTGGTCATGCAAAATTTTGGGTTAGTAATGAAGTAACTTTTATTTGGAAACATTAGAAAAAACATGTGAATGGTTATTTTAAAAATAGCAACTAATGCATAAACTCGAATATCTTAAGATATTCAAAAAATGGAATGTCTTCAATTTCTTAAGTTTTATTAATTCAAAGATAGGATTTAATTTTTGTAAATCGGGAATCAAAATACAATTATTCGTGCTGTATGAGTAATTTTTAATCGTATATTTGATCGCGATTTTAGATCCCTTTCATGCAGCAATTTGAAATCTGGCATTTCAGGTGCAATATGCTTTTAATCGTAAACGAAATATGATTGAACTTGAAGTAAAGCAAGAATCTTCTGCAAATCGTGGAAGGCAAAGGTTCGTTGAATGTCATGAATTGATTCTTATGTTAATAAAGGATCAAAAAATTTCACTCTCTACTTTTTTAGATCTCCTGAATTTCTAAGGAAATTGTGGCATTGATTAAAGAACTTTTGTACCGATCATTTAATCATCTAATCAGTATATTTTAGTTACGTTGGTCCATTAATTGTTGTGGTTCAAGAATTGGATGGATCGTTCACACATACTGTACAGATTGATTCCAATCA